TGTAAGAGGGGTCTGGATGTCTGTAGGGTCCCCGCTGGCTTGCTCAAAGACCACTGTGGGTGTGAAGATATCCAGGCTGTCGTTGGCAGTCCCGCTAGCTTCCTCTTCCTCAAAGGCGCTGAGGGGCACTTTGGGCGCAGCCGGGGCTAGCCATCCTTCACCATTTGGACCCTGGAATAGAACTGGCATGAGATGATGCCACGTGATCTCCATCCCTGTTTCAGTGGCTGTGCACATGCTAGAGAAGGGAAACCATTGGGGCAATCAGTTCTCAGCAGCTCCTTCGCCACTTCCCTGTACCTCAGGGTACAGGCCTCTGGGGCTTGGTGAGAACACACATTTCTGGGCATCTTCAGCCCACCTCTGGGATCCAGCTAGCTGGACATCTCTGCTCAGTTTGTATCTGGGCTTAATTTGCATACTTGCAGTCATGGGGAGCGCATCGTCTCTGCAGGCAGCCCTGCTTTTTCCAAACAGTTCTGCTAGCCGAGCTCCAGCTTCTGTTAAGCTAAGACTAGAACTAGAGTTTTTTGGGTTTCTCCTGCTGTGACACATGCTATGTCTTTAGAGAAGAAAACAGAAGAGAGAAAAGGGAAGGAAAGGGAGACCATTTGTTCTTTGAACTCCTCTGTGTAATGATCAGGTGGGCTGGAGAATTCTGTCACTAGCCTGTGGAGGAGCTCGGAGGTGGGCAGCTGACCCGGCCAGGCCTGCAGCCTTCATGCATATTAGTGCAGCACCTACCAGTTGAGGGGACTGCTATGTCCCCACCAGGCTCGTGGTCTGCTAGGGAGCCAGGCATGCCCTAAGGATGAAGTGTCTTACAATTATGAAGAGGTCTTCCAAGGACAAGGCCAGAGAGCCTTCACAGCCCACAGCAGCACCTTCCTGGGGAAGTGCTGTTGGGCTGACTATGAAGGACAGGCATGAAGGTGAAGGCAGGGAAAGTTGGGGAGGGCTCTATCTGCAGCAAGAGAAGACTGCAGAGCAGGAAAAACAAACAAACAAACAAACAAACAAAGAAAAGAAAAAGAAATGAGAGAAGCTTGAAGTAGGAGGTTGTGGCTCGGGTCTGGGACACAGAAGCCCCAGGTGCAGCCAAGAAGGCCAGTGACCAATGGTGCTTGGCTTCTCAAAGGAGCAGGGTCAGTTAGGTCAAGGTCAGGGAAACCTCCCAGAAAAGCAGGAACATCCGGCCAGGCTCTGTGAGAGGCTACAGAGAGTGAGCCTGGTGGGTAGGAACCTGCTTGGACAGGGCCTATACTGGTGAATTACAGCTTTAGGTAGAAAACCAACAGGATTCAATTCTCATGGGATATGGGATAGAAGGAAGAGGGAAGATAAATCCATATGAGGCAGCTGGCATGGGACTGTCCCAGGCACATGAGGTGGGAACACAGGAGTGGCCTGAGGAGACAGGTTTGAATCCAATGGGTAGAGAGCCTCTGTGAGGACATCACCGGGATAGACTGGGCCAATGTCCAACTGGGATGTGTGCCCAGCTTTCTCTGCACTTCAGGCAGTATGATCTCACCCTGTTGGGCCTACCCTACCAGCCCACAGCAATGCCATCACCTCTTTCCCTCACATGCAGGCCATACCCCTGGCTCCTGGCCTGTGCTGGTAAGGACAAAGGCTCTGCACTCAGCCCCAAGACTCCTTTTCACTCCTCTACCCACACAGGTTACCCACATGTTCCCTCAGGCCCTGCTAGACCACAGGGGCTGAGCCATAAGCTTAGAAGTCCTAGAAAGCAAGCCCCACCTCTGAGCTCTCGTTGGTCAGAGAGATGTCCCCCTACACCCCAGGCAGGGCCATCTGGGCTGGCTGAGTGTAAGACACACACTCCAACAAGGCTATTACAGAGTTTCATACTCCTTACCAGAGTGGCTTCTATTCTTGGCTCCAGGGTTGGCCCTACAGTGGGCACGCTGCCAGCCTCTGCTTCTCCAGCAGTGCCAGTGGGCACCTCACCATCCCCTGATGCTGTTGTTGCTATATTTTCTTCATTCTCTGGATCCTGAATGGAGAGACATCCCAAAGGGCCAGGTTAGTGGACCGCCACTTTGATCCATGTCATGGCTTTAGGGGAAGACAACCAAGGCCCTCTTGTATCTGTGTCCTGTCCTGTCCTCACTGTCAAAGCACAGGCACATCTAAGACCTGCCCTTAGTCTCTGCCCTTGCTAATCTACAACTGCCAATCACCCGATCGCTTCCTGCCTCTTGCTCCTCTCAGCACCTCCTGGATTTAAAGTTGCCCTCTCTGGTGTCACTCAGAATCGTGCCTAAAAATTGAAGGATGCCTTTTGAGCTCCTCACTCGCTGAAGCTTTTGAAAACATCTGGCATGTTCATGGCCACCTCTGCTTACCTGGACCTGGAGTCAGCCTGGACCCATCCCCATGTACCCAGGCCAACTTCCTCTGTCCTTTCTCCACTTAGAAGCCAGGGCTGTCTTCCTAGAATTCTAATCTTACTAAGATCTCTTCACCCTCTCCTATGCCTCAGTGGCCGCTGCTTTACTAAATGCTGCCGGGCCTCCCAGCAGAAGCCATCACGCTCTGGGCTGCTCCAGCCCCGTCTTCTCAGCTTCAGCTGACATCAGGGGCCCCTGCTGACTCCACAGGCATGCGATTCCTTCAGTTTCCGTGTGGCCTCTGGCCTTTGCTCCTCTGGCTCCCACCTGTAACATCTATCTATCTCACCTGCATGGATACTTTTTTCAGACTCCCAGGCTCACCTTCTACCTCTCTGACCTGCAAGATGGGCTTTGGGCCCTTTTCTATATTCACAGGATATTTGGGGAGGCCTCCATCCCTTGACCACTGTGTCTTGGGAACTTGGCCTATCCCAATGACAGTCAGCCCTGACAAGCGGGACCAGTGCCTGGTGTGGCACGGCACTCTGCAAACCTCTCCTAGTGAGTTAAGACCCCTGCAGACAGTTGCCCATGCCCCCCTGGGTTTGTCCCACAGCGCTGCTACTCTGCACTTTGCAGATCGGAGGCTAGTGCCTGCTTCTACCAGGGACAAGCCCTAGCAGGGGAAGTGAAATGGATGCTCAAGGTACCCACCGGAGTGGCCACTTCCCTGGTGTTCTGGGTGGACATGGCCAGGGTGGAGCTCCCAGTAGGCACACTGCCAATCTCTGCTTCCAGAGTAGTGGCGCCAGGTGCTCTGGCCTCCCCAGTTGCTGTTGCTGGTAACCCCTGAAAATGAGGACACAGTGAGAGACCCTGCCACTGGTCCCTACAGCTGAGGAGAACTGAGATCAACAAGCCTATGGCTGAGGAGAACTGAGTGCCTGGCTCTTCCGACACAAACCTGACATTTCTGCAGCTTTCTGACTTGGAGCACATCCGCCTTTGTGACTCCACCCCAGTCTCAGACCCAGATTTGCAAAATCCAGGGGAGAGAAGACATCTCCAAGGCATTGATGTTCTCACATTTCATGCTAACATCTGCTTATACACCCAGCGACCATAGGTCAGTGATTCCCCAGTCAGCTGGCTGCAGCTCTGGACATTCTGTTTCGACACGCATCTCCTGTACACCCGTACTGACATAAAGATTGCCCTCCATGGTGCTTCAGTCACGTGCAGGCAGGAAGGACTCTGTCCTTCTCAGTCTAGTCCAGCCCTAACACGCCTTTCTCGCTTTCTTTGTAGTTTAGTTTCTTCTGGGCAACGAAAAGATTTCTATAAGGTCTCACAACAAATGGGGAAGTAGAACAGCTATGGCTGCTGGTGTCATAAAAAGGGGCTTGTTTGCCCGGAATGATGATGCACAGCTTTAACCTCAGCACTCAGGAGACAGAGGAAGGCAGATTTCTGAGTTTGAAGGCAGCCTGATCTATACAGTGAATTTCAGGCCAGCCATAGTTACACGGGGGTTGAGGCAGGCACATTATTTTTGTTTTCCAGGAGTTTTCATGTCTGTGTACTGGAGTGGGTGTGGCTGCATACATGTGTATGAGTTTGTTTATACACGCATGAGCCTGTTGAGACCAGAGATTAATATTGGGAGTCTTCTCCCATGGCTCTCCACATTATTTTTGAGACAGGGTCTCTCACTAAACATGGAACTAGGCTATGAATGACTACCAAGCAAGCCCCTAGGATTCTCTTATCCAAGCTCCTGGCATTTATACTAGGGTTATATTCATCATTGCATCCAGCTTTCACAGGGGTCTTCACACATGTGCACAAGCTCTGGAGTTGATCCATGCCCCTACCAGACCAAGCATTTCTTAAGCTGGCTTCGTAGATGCAAAAGACAATTGCTGAGAATATTGTGGGCATGCCTTAAGTGAATGCTGTTCTGTCCTGAGGGGGCTGAGGTCATCCTACAGATCCAGTGCAAGGTGGTCCCCATCGTGAGCATGCTCCCTTCATCACCACGCTTGGGTGAAGACAAGCTGGAGTTATTTCTCCTCCACTGTTGCTGGTGTGCTCCTGGAACTTGACCACTGTGTTTTCTCCATACCACAGGGGCATCAGTCAGTCCTGATGACATTCAACTAGAAACCCTTGATGCCCCTGTCACCATCAAATGTGAAATAAGCAAAAAAGTCCCCTTTTAGGCTATCCAATCAAATTTACCACTCACTCACCTGCCCATCAGTGATGTTCAACAAGGTGCCACCCCCTGAACCATCATCAGTACTGGGGTCCCCAGCTGCAATGCGGACCTCCAGTGTATCATTCAGAATTTCACCAGACCCTACAGGAAGCAGAAATTGTGACGGTTTGCAGTTTTGGAAGAGAACGAGGCAACTCTGTACCTAGTCAGTTGGGACAGTGTCCATGATTCCACAGTACAAAACAAAAAGGAAAGAGGCACCCCAGAGACCAGGGCAAGACCTTAGGGCCTGCTGGCTTTCAGCACAGGCTCTGCTACCTCCCGCTGCCTGGAATCCTGCTCTGCCATGTCCCAGAATGCGACGTAAGGCAAATGTTTAACCTGTGCCTCAAGTTCCTTCACCTACAAGTAGAGATTATGATTTCTCCCTGAGAGAGTAGAAACTGTTCTAATGATTATGCACTGTCTGACCTAGCCGATATGAGGAAAGTGTCGGGGACAGCACCTGACACATAGAAAGCCACTCACAAATATTCATTAGCACTGGAGTTCTATGTTCAAGGAACATATAAGGGCTACATATGAGTACATGTATCTTACCATCATTCCATGTGATTATCCTATTACATATTCATGTTATGTGATAATTATTACCTGGCACACATATTTCTGTAGGTGTCTATATATTTATGGATATGCACAGCTAAATCACAGTGCTGAATATTGGCTTCTCTCAGATTACAGGAGTGGAAAGGGAAGAAATTATTATTTTGTTGTGACTGTCATTATTGTTTCGAACAACTCTACGTTGATTGAATTGTTACCAACACACATTTGTGTGGAGAGCTTCAAAAGGCAAACAGAATCCTAAAGCAGAGATTACACTGAAGTGAATACATGCCTTTATCCTCCCTCCAGACCAGAATTCCACATTCTCAGCTTCCTCGATAACACCCCAGGTCAGGAAGCTTGCTCTAATTACAACTTTAGAATAATAATCATTAATTTCTAGTGCTGTTAGTAGCAGTGCTAAAGACTGAGCCTCAGATCTCACGCAAGCTAAGAAGTACTCTATCACTGAGCCGTAAAGGGTCTCACTATGTTTCCTGGGCTGGCCGTGAACTTGTTCTGTAACCTCAGCAGGCCTTGGACTTAGGATATATTCTTGTTGCAGTCTTCTAATTGGCTGAGATTACTGGCTTGTGCTACCAGGCCTGTTTCATAATTAGTCACCTTCTGCAGAGGAGTAAAGTCATAGTGAGAACAGCGGTTGGGAAGGGCCTGTAAGCCAGGCAGGCTTGCCTCCAAGCCAGACTTTCTCCATAAATGTACATTTACATGTGCCCTAATATCTCCAGGAGACCCTGTGCTACCTCACATTTGATCCACAGAACTCTAGGAGTGGTCTGTCCGGCACTGGCCCTCGCCTGGGTCCTCCCTGCTCTGACCACCAGGGGATGCTGTGTAAGCAGCTACTGGTCCAGTGTCAGCTTGGATGGAGCCGGAGCAGACACTGTCAGAAAACATGGTATACACATGCCTCAGATATTGGAGAGCCTTTTCCAGGCAGAATGGCATTTGGGGAACAGTTTCCCTTCTCTGTACCACCTGGGCTGTCTACTCATCAAGAAAAGGAGAACCTGAACCAGCTCTGGGGGTTCCCTTTAGCCTTTTGTCAGCTAGAAGAGGAGCAAAGCTGTTCCCGGGTACAGGTGAAAGGTTCAGGTGAGAGCCTTGGCCTCCATTCAGCACTTGCCTTCTTAGGCTGGAAAAGCCACCCTATCCATGGGACCTCAGAGGTCCCAACCCACCCAACAGTATCCACGATCGAGAAGGCTCCAGTGTCGCAGGAACATAGAAAGTACAGTTTCCCTGCTTAGGGCACACCCTCTCATTCACAGGAGGCAAGGATGGTGACGACAACTCCCCAAGGAAGACTAGGAAGGCGGCAGCCTCAGCCGTGCCCCAGGCCACAGCAAGGAGCCATGCAAGGCTTCCTTCAGAGCTGGCTCAGGCTCTTCCTGCCCTCCGGGCTTCCCACTGCTACATCTTCCAGATTCCTTAGTCCCTTTATTAAATTACTTCTAATTTTCCTGTCTAGTACTCTCAGTGTCCTTCCCACAGACTCCCCAAGTTCAGTTGTTGAAATCTCACTCATTAGCTGATTGATGCCAGAAGCAAGGAGAGCAAGGATAACTATTACTGTAAAAGATTTTTTTTTTTTTGAAACAGAAGTTTAACAGTGAGAATCAAAACCACCTGCCGTGGATCTTGTACCAAATGAGCAATGCATCCCCCACACAGTCGATTATCATGTATTCAAAGTGGTGGCTGCAGTAGTTTTGGAATCTCGTCTAATGGTGAGAACTCCACTACCATGTCCCTAACTCATTAGATCATCCCTATCACGTGGCCGAAGGACATCGAGTTTGTTCAGCCAATCCCTGCTACAGGCGATTGGGATGGACAGTGCTGCTGGGAGTGACCTTGCCCCCGCGTCTCAGAGCGCTGGCCTTGGCCACAGCTCAGACTACAAATGGCCACCCTTTTCAGGCCCTGGGTTCATGTCAGTCTGCTGCTTAGGGGATCACAGTTGTGCTCTGGGCTTTTGCTTGTGCACCTTAGTGTAGGTGGCAGATGCAGAGGAGCAGCGGGTGGAGCCTGAGGCCTGCTGTCCTCTTTAGGTGGCCATTGACCTGCTGGGTGAACATGCCAGTCTCTGGTCATCGGTTAGCTGGGCAGACCCAGAGAGCTCCTGGCAGGAGTCAGAACAACTGGAGATGCTAAGTTGAGGCTGTGAGCTCGTGAGCGCGTCGCCTGCCCTTTTTCAGGGGTTGGCTTTTTCCACCTGTAAAATGCAGTGGAACTGCAAAAGTATGTATTCACTCGGCACACAGTAGGTACCCAATTAGCTACAATGATTCCCTTAAGCCTTCCTACAGGGAAAGCAGAGGGCAGCCCGAAAGTTACAAGCTCAGACACTGGAAAGCAAGTGGCAGCTCTGCTGTGAGGTCTTGGTTGGGTTACCTAATTTCTCTGGGACTCTGCTTCCCTGTCTCTTCTCTAAGGGCCGTGACTATCAGCTGTCTCTTGAAGGGGGAAAGGATGATGACATCGTGTGTCGAATGCATGTTGCTCATTCGTTGAGAGACTGCCACTCTCGGACATCAGGACTTGCCTTGCTCAGGGATGCTGTGCCCAGGGAGGCTTAAGCCGGTGTCTGGAGTTCCCTCGGGCACCGGTTCACCAGAAAGCTCCATGTCCTCAGCAGGAGAAAAGGGAGTAGGAGGCATGCTTATGGGATCAACTTGTGCTTCTTTAGGCTGAAGAGAGAAACAGGAGACTTACTTTCCAATGAATTATTTAAGTAAAACAGGGTTTTCTTAACAGGGAAGCAGGGGAAAAGTATGGGAAGCAGTTTATGCACAGAATCCTGAATAATCCCGAATGCCTACACTGGTTGTTTCTCTGGACAGCATCGCACCTCCCAGGCCTGAAAGAGGTGCATGCTGGGTGTGATTCCATCCCACTCACTGTCTGGAGAGTCGTTGCTGATCTCAGACTAGGGTCTCTAAGCTCAGGGACCACACTTCTGTGCTGCAGGAAGATATGAGGAGTTATCTTAGTGCGTCAGGCTGCGCTGGTGAATCTAGCCCCAGAGCAGCACGGTGGACAAGGCTCTGACAGTGATGGATGTGCGCAAGGTCTCAACCAGTCCCATCAACTGGGGGAAACAAAATCCAACAGCTGGAAATAAAGCAATTCAGAAATCCAGGCAGGAACCTCAATGCCTGTCCAGACATCAGCCCAGGATGCCGGAAGCAGTTCGTGAATGCCAGGGTTGTCAGCTTTCAGTCTCTTTATTTTTCTAAGATGTGGGCTCCTGGGGAGGATGGAGGGTTGAATGGAAGGGCCTAGTGTTGGACTCAGCGTGTGGAAGAGAAAGACATCTCTGCTGTGTTACGACAGTAAAGTTTCAGGGCTTATTTGTTACTGCAGCACTCCTTGCACATTTTAACAGGATCAGGCTCTTCTCTTATGTTAGATCCTACTGTGCGAATAGTGAACATTTGGTCCATCATAACAGGGAGGACTGTGACTTCAGAGTTCATAGTTCAGTCCTTACGGTCAGACTTGGCTTTCTATTTAGGTGCCTGACCTATTTTGGACAAATCATACAGCCTCACTGGGCCCACACTTTCTCCTCTGTACCTTGGAGACAATAAGAAATGTTCTAATAAACATGAAGAGATGGCTCAGTGGTTAAGAGAGCTAGCTGCTCTTCCAGAGTGGACCCAGGTTCAAATTCCAGCATCCATTTGCTATCTCACAACTGGCCTGTTACTCCAAGGGAACTGATGCCTTCTTCTGGCCTTTGTGGGCAGTGCACACATATGCAGGCCAAACACCCATACACATAAAATAAAAAGTAAACAGATCTGAAAAAAGAAATGCTGTATAAATGCATAGAAATGTTTATGCATTTTCAGTAGTGAGATATTCCATATTACTAGAAAGCTGCAATTGAGGTGAAAAAAGGTATGAAGCAATGATTCTGAGCACCAAGTCAGAGACATTGCCAATGATTCATAGTAGTACCATCTCTAGGGCAAAGGTGTGAAAGAAGGAACAGGCCTTGAAGATAGGCAGAGTTCCAGACAGCATAGAGGGAATGTTAGAGGCATCAGGTCTTGGCTGCCTGAGCTGGGCCAGAGCTATGGCCAAAGAAAAATTGCAGGCCAGAGCCTGTAGAAGTAGCACTATGGAGGACGAATCAAAGGAGAAACGGGCTTGGACCCAGGGGCATGGACAGTGCTGAGGGTAAGAGTGTCTGGAAGACTGGGAGTGAAGAGCCTGGGGTGCGGCACTGAAAAAGCCAAAAGGTAGGCGCTAGGAAGGGGTGCTGAAAGAGTAGAAACACCCAGGAAAAGCAGCAACTCCCCGCTAGGGCTGACCCACCCTGGGATGGGTATGTTCTCCCCTGTTTTCCATTGAGTCCTGATGGAGCTAGGAAAGCCCACGGAAGCCCAGCCATAGCCTCGCAGGGTGCCCATGGCTGGAAGCAAGGGTACTTTGTAAGACATGTGGGCCTAGGGACAGATACTTGGAGTAGGTGAGGCTGGGTAAACAGGAGGGAAAGCCTGACACAAGTTGAGCTGCCTCTTAAGGAGATCGCATTTACAATCCTTGACTAGTCTAACTGGATCTTAGCCAGGCAGCCTTGGCCACCTGAGCCCTGCTTTGGGGAAAGGTGAGACTCTGGGGAGCTGACTCTGAGGAGAAAGTGAGGCGCCTCATCCCGAGCAGGTGACTGTGGGTTTCAGAGGTAATGCTTACAAGGAACCAAGTGTGGGCTGTGACAGTGTTGGAAGACCTAGTTTTAAAGCCTTCAGTCCTTCCTAAGTTATTATGGAGGTATGTTTGTTTGCTTGTTTGTTTGTTTTGTCCACCTTCACAGTCATTACCAGATAGGCTCCCACAGATAGGCTCCCATGGATTCACTGGGTGTCAGGTTGCTGGCTGAACCCTGGGGCTGGAGAAAGGAATAAAGAACCCAGCCTGTCTACCCTCCCCCTGCCAGAGCACAGAAGGGGCACAGCCTAGCACCAGCAGCTGACTTCATGGAACACACAGGATAGCAAGAGCCAAGCTGGGGAGGGGCTATGGCAGCGAGTGGCCTCATTGGAGGGGATTTGGCCTGGATCCTAAGGTGGATTGGAATTTGCCAGAAGGAAGGAAGGACGGGTGGAGATGGGGGTTCCAGCAAACGGAGCTATCCAAGGCTGTCGGGATTGGAAGTCCCAGATGGCATGTCTGGGAAGCCGAGCCCTTAGGTGTGGCTGGGAATTACCCGCAGAGCTCTCTGCCAGTGCGGATTCTTGTTCTTCGATCCAGACAGACTGAACATCCAGGGAAGCAGCCTTTTCATTAAAGACCTCTGTCTGCCCCACACACATTTGGGCACAGGGGGGTGAGAAATAGGTGTTAATTCTAACTCAGCCAAAGGTGAGTTTTCCAGAACTGCAAAGGTATATGATCGGCATGCAGTTGGGGAGAGACAGGCACAGAGCAGCAGAGGTCCTGACCTCACTAAGTGGGAAGTGGGGGCAGGGAGGGCTGGCAGGCGGGCTCTAGTTCTATTTGCCACTTAGTGCTCATGTCCGGGAGGGTAGCAAAAGCTACAAAGGCTAAACATGAGGAAGTGAGATTCTGATCAAGAGGGAAGCCAAATAGAGAAAGGAAGGACTGTCTGAGAGCAAGAGGGAAATTCCCTGTGCTGTGGGGTTAACTGTCAAAAAGAGCCATGATACCCTTCAGGGCAGAGTGGCAGAGAGTACTCTGGACCCTTAGCTTAAGATCTGACTCTGTCACCTTCAGGCCATGTGGACTCAACAACGACGTGGTTGTTCCACACCCAATCCTATAGAACAGACTTCAGAGGCCCTTTCTGAGACACTGCAGGCAGAGCGGAGAGTGAGCCCTGGAGAGTGAGCGTGTGTAAGTGAAGGGACACCCGCAGGACAGGAGATCCCTGGGGATGACATCTGGCACTGTGGGTGTTGGGGACCATCAGGGCTAGACCTGGGGGAATCCTCTTAAAGCAGAGAGCAGTCATAGTGGTTTTGCATAACAGGACACCAGCAAGGAAGCAGGTGTGAAGGAGGTCCCAAAGGGAACAGGAAACCCTAAGCACGCTTCACTGAGTCTGCCCACGAGCCCCTGGCCTCTTGGAATCCTCACCAGTCAGTCTGCGGTGCCTACCACAAGCCTTCACCCGTCACTGCTGTGTGCCAAGGACCACCTGAGTGTCCGGACCAGGCAGTTTGTCCACCCCTCACACCAACCCACGCAGCAGGCATGCTCTGTGCGTCCTGCTGAAGGCCAGCCGGCAGGAACAGCACGGCTAGGACCTGCTCTGGGCAGAGCTTGGATGCAACAGCACTTTTCCCAAGTCCCTGGGAACTTGAGAAAGGAAAGAATGGGCTTCCCCAGAGACACCCCGCTTCTCCAAGTCACCACCCAGTTTTCTTCCATCACTCCTCAGTGATGGATGTCACACCCTCTCTGGGCTGATGCTGCGCCCCCACCCCCACATGTCAGTCCTTGTTCCTGCAGTGCTGTGGTCATCGTGTGCCGCCTTCCTTGTGTGGTGTAAGGATCACGTGACCTTCATGTCCACAGAAACACTAGCTCTTCCGCCTCCCCCTCCATGCTTGTCCCAAGCTGGCTGTCTCTGCCTTCCCCTCCCAAATTCTTATCTCACTCTCACCCTTGTAGCCTCCTTGCCTCTCAAGCCCTGCTGTTCTTTTCGAGCTCTCTTTGGAGACTGCTGGGTCGTTAGCACCTCCGTCTGAGTCAGCCTCCCTCTTTGTACATCCTGAAGCTGCACCATGCCCAGAGCCGTGAGCGTGTGTCCCACTGACCTGTGCCCAGGACATGTCCATGGGCGACTAAGCCTAATGGGCACACAGGACACCAACACTGTCCCCAAGCAATACATGGACTCCTGGATCCTTGGCTTCCCCACCTCTGCCAAGACTGGCCACGGTCTCGGAGACTAACTCTCACAGTCCTACCCAGACCATGAACCCATGGATAGACGTCTTGAGACCTGTGCTCCAGCCTTGCGCAGGGTCCCTTTCTGGATCTGCCTGCCCATCTGTAAAATAGGCAGTTTGGTAGAGACATCTCTCTAAGTCCCTCTAGCACTAGCAGACTATTGTTCTGTTCTGCCACGTCCACATCCCTGCTGCCTGAGGGCTCTGCCTTGTTTCTTTCTCCCTGCTTTCTATCATAAGTGCCTTCACAGAGTAACGAGCCAAGACTGGGAGCTTTCTTTGCTTGCAGCTCAGATGCTCCTTGTTATTCTCACGGTCTGACTCAAGTCTTTGGAAACCCTTTTCTCTTCAGCTGCAGAACACAGTCCCAAGAGGGAGAGATGTGGACACTGGGACAAGGGCTGCTTTCCCGTGGGTCCAAGGCAACACTGAATATCATTCAGGGCAGTTTCTGTCATGTCAGGCACTTTCTCAGACTCACCGACTTCCCCAATGACCCTGTCAGATACAACTGATTTTATCATCCTTCTGTAGAAGGGACCTGAAGTTCAGAGGGTCTGAATAAGTTCTCCAAGGCCACACCTTTTTTCTTTTGCACACCTTTCATAGTTGTGTATACAGGTGTCCCTGAGTAATTGGTAGCTTGCTTGGATATGGGAGTGAGGTAGCAAAGGACCCTCTAAACTTCCCCAGGAGTTCTGGTACTTAACTTCACAAATCTGACAACAGCCTAGGACAGTTAATCCACTCACAGGGCTAGTACCCATACTCACCGGGGCTTGGGTGTAGGTGACAGCCTCCATGATTTCAGCAACTTCATCCATCTCTTGAAGCCCGCTGGCTTCTCCCGATGCCTATGAGGAGATAAGTCACACCACAAACAAGGCAGGAGAGCTGGTACATACCATTGGGGTACTTGGGAAGGTTAGAGACTGACAAGCAGACTCCTGTGGAGGAACTTTGTGCATGTATGCGTACATTTGCATGCATGTGTGTGCATCTGTGTGATATGCATGCATACATGAATGTACATATGAAAACATGTATGTGTGGTGTTTGTGCCTGCAAACGTGGGCATCAGAGACAGGGTGGGAAATGAGGTGTGCATGGTTGGTTACTCTGTTTCTAGCCACACTATTGCTACAGTTTGTGTTACTTCACCTTCCAACTGTGCTCAGGCTCCCTTCGCTCCCTGTTTGTGCAAGGTGCTCACTGGAGCCTATTCAGGGAGCACTCATCCAAAGTGTTGCCTGCCCTTCACAGCTAGTTCTCTGTGCCACCCCAGGGGCCTGTGCTGTGGCTCTGCAGTGCGCCCTGTGTTCTGAGACTTCTACGTGGTTTTAATGAATGCAGAGCAGAGACAAATATACGACAACTACCTTCCCTCCCTTTCCCAGCTCCCGTGAATGTCATACAGGCTCAGGAGTTCAGAAATTCAAACAGGCCCAAATGCTACCTCTCGGGTGCAGGTGTTTTGTTTTTTTTTTTTTTTTTTTAACATTAAATTAATGAAACCAACTTCTAATTTGTTCAGAGGTTGACATCACTTAAAGAGCCACAGTCACAGGAAATACCAATCTGCCTGCATCTGGCTTTGATGCTCCTGTCTGCCGGTAAGGCTCTTCAGACAGCACGTCCCCCCCCCCCCCGACTGCCTTCCAGTTCCTCCTTCTCCTCCTCTTCCTTCTCCTCCTCCTCCTGCTGCCCTCCTGATCACTGACCTGCTGAGTTGGGTCTGAGGCTTTGTCACTAAGTTGGGTCTCCAAGTGTGTGTCAGATGTTGGAAGAAGGGACAGATCCTGAAGTATATCCCCTTATCCCCAGCCTACACAGTGACGCCACTACTAGCAAATCCTGGAGGAAGAGCAGGAAGAGCAGGAAGGAAGAAAGGAAGGAAAGAAGGAAAGAAGGAAGAAAGAAGGAAGGAAGGAAGGAAGGAAGGAAGGAAGGAAGGAAGGAAAGAAAGAAAAAGTAAAAAAGGAAGGTAGGCAGGAAGGAAGGAAGAAAAGGAAAGAAGGAAGGAAGACAGGAAGGAAAGAAAGGCAGGCAGGAAGAAATGAACAAATGAATGAATGAAAGAAGGAAGGAAGGAAGGTAGAAAGAAAAAAGAAAGGAAAGCAGGAACCATCTTTCCTCCCTGATTCCCCGCTCCACCCCCAACTTAGGAATTGAATCACTTGCCAAGCATAAAATGAACCTAAATTTAGGTTCATTTTTATAGGGCTTTACACCCAGAATATCTTAGCATTTTAGCTCTGATTTTAGAATCCTGACACCCTTCTTGGCAGGAAGGCTGGAAACCAGGCCATTGCCTGCCACAGCCACAGGAACACCTTATAAGACACACAGCCCCCACTCCAAGGAGACGGCTGAAGAGCTTTAAAAGTGAAGGAAAGCCAAAAGCCCAAAATAGGCCTTGGGGCAGTGCTGGTCATGATGAGAGGCTTTTAGACTGCCTGACGCTGAGGGGGAAGGATGGCTGGGCACCCAGCCTTCCCCTGGCTGGCTGGGGGATGGTGGTACAGACCCCTGGTGGGGGGAGGCAGAGGCTCACCGAGGACTCTTGCGCTTCACACAGCTCCTCAGGGATCCTGGGGTCTGTATAGATGGTAAGCTGTTGTATGGAGCCCTGGGGAAGAGAGAGATGAGAGGCACGCTACATGTATCCACCACTGCCTGAGAGAGATGGGGCATCCCAGTGAGGAGAGGACCGCAAAGGACCAGCATGGGAACGGTGCTGTCGATGGAGGTGACGGGAGCGCTGGACACCCCTCCCCAACTCTGGCTCTGCATTCAGGGGACTCTCCTTGTTTTCTCCCATGGAATATGGACCTCCTTAGCCTGTGTTCAGAATATAAACAAAAAGAGCAGACTCCTAACATCTCCCGGGCCCCGCAGGTCAGCAGCAGGCCCTGAAATGTGTCTCCCCGTACCCCAAAAGCTCAAAACTTCCTTGCTAGACATTCTTGTCCTATGAAGGCCTGCCAGCAGCCCCCTCGTCCAACTCCCACTGGCTCGCCAGATCCGACGCTCACTCTCCAAAAGACACCAAAGCCATGTACACATGTGACAAGTGCACCGGGCCTCAGCATCCCCACCGTGCTACAAATGCATTCAATTTCTGCCCTCTAGTGGTGTCTTTTTCCTTTTTCCTTTTTTTTTTTTTTTTCTTTTTGGACAGTGTCTCACTATGTAGCCCTTGCTGTCTTAAAATTCACTATGTAGACCAGGCCAGCCTTGAACTCACAAGAGATCGGCATGCCTCTGGAGTGCTGAGGTTAAAGGTATGCATCACCATGCCCAGTTCTGAGACAGAATCTCAATGTGTAGGCTAACCTGGAACTTGCTCCGTAACTCAGGCTGGCCTGGAACTCATGACCCACGGCTAGCTGAGTACTGGGATTTCAGGGAAGAGCCAGGGCTCTGGCCTCCCCTAGTATGTCTGATTTACTCTAGGGCCTGGAGGCAGCCTGGCTCAGAACGCATGTGCATGAGATGAAAACCAAGGGACTCTTCATTCCAACCATTCAGATTCATCCATCTCTGCAGAAACGATTTAAGCACAACTGCCATCCACATGGAGAAATTAAATCGTCTGAGACTAGCCAGCTTGACTCTCTTTCAGTTGTGACTTTCAATGAACAGAGTGCTTCTTACTAATTTCCCAGACGGGCCTATAACTTATTATGTAGCCCAGGGTGGCCTTGAACTCCTTCCTCAGTCTCCTGAGTGCTGAAATTACAGGATGCACCAAAAGCCCCAGCCTCAGGATAGGGGCCTTTATGTCCACCTTCAGATGATCCAAAAGTGCCTCATGCAGCAGCCTCCGTTTGTTGTAGAGTACCGAGATCACTGGCATCCCTGCCTAGAGCCCTTCCCACGTGGTGTCCATCCAACAAAATAACAATGGTCACTGCTCCTGCTTTAGGGTGTGGGAGTTCAGGTCGGAGCTTCACCGGTCTGCGCCGAGTGGAGTGAAACTCACCGTGAATCTCTCCAGCCCCGTGGCTCCCGCGTTGCCCACAAAGATGCCGGCACTGGGCTCAAAGGTCAGAGGCTGGGAAGATCGCTGGAAAAGGACGTGGCCGTGCTCCTCACAGCCCATGAGAAGGGCCACTTCCTCGCCCTGGATGGTCACAGCGAAACGATTCCACCTGTTGGTCATCACCGGCACGGAGAAGACGGCAGCTTCACGGGACACGGAGGAGCCTGGCTCCGTGTAGTAGAGGATAACCCGCTGGCGGCCGTCCTCCACGCCCGAAAGCCGCAGGCCCAGGTAGATGACCTTCTGGAAAGCATCGGTAATGGCGAAGAGCGCACCTCCGCGGGTGCTGGTGGGCTTTATCGCCGCCCCGATGGCGAAGTCCCTGAAGAAGGTCGGTGGGATGAGGGTCCTGGCTGGCCGGCCGACGTTGGCACCCGGCCCAAAGCTGTAGGCTGGGAAACCACCGTAGCCCGTGACGAAGGACACGGATGAGGGTAATGGGACACCAATGAGCTCTGTGAGGTCCAGGTGGTCCTGGGAAGCTGAGCCTGCAGGGAGGGAGAGAGGCCATGATCTCACTATGCTGGAACAAGGAGGTGGGAGCCACAAGCACAACTGGACCCCACGGGAAGCCACTGAAACGAGACTTTCTAAAGTGACAATTGCCCACACTTCTAGAACAACCTCCAATAATGAAACGTGACGCACAAGGCACACCAAAGCACGTGAATAGAACTCCAAAACACCATTTCAGAAAGCGCTGTGGTGACTGTGAATACTCACCAGGCCCTCGACTATTTTCTCCTCCCCTTTAATCACTGTTTTTCTCTTTTTAAAATTAAAACCATGCTTCGCAAGACACATTAATTGATTTGATTACCCACTACCGGGTGGTGATCCACAGTCTGGAAAAAAACATTTACAAATGATTTCTAGACTATATAGTGCACAGCCCCCCACCCCATTAACTTGGAGATTTCTTTCATTACTTAACAAAGGGGAATGGGATTGTATGGCTCTGTTTTAAATGAGGTCTTCTGTTCACTTGCCTCGGTAAAGGGGAAAAGAGCAGGTACAAAGGGGAGTGTTCCCTGGAGTCCAGCACAATTGAACTTTGTATCACAGTGGTACCCACTCATCATCATCTTCTTCAGCAGCAGCAACAGCATCCTCTCCATCATCCACATCCCAGCTCTCTCTCTCTGTACCAGGCACTGCTCTCAGCTCATTACATGATTAAGCTAATTTCGTCCTCACAAGAGCCCTGTGAGGTTAGATACTGTTACCTCTGTTTACTTCCGAGAAAATCAAGACTGCTAGAAGCTAACAAATTTGCAAGCAAGATCCACATGCAGGATTCAAACCTAGACCCCCTGACCAGAGTCTGTGGTCTTCACCAGCACCCTTGGTGGGGTTGATAGACCTCCCTTGCAGTAGCCTGAAAAGGACCCCAGGTCTGACCATTGTCCAGGACAAAAGCTTCAGGCTGGTCCAGTGACCTACACACATTCCTGAGGTGATGCAAAGTGACAGCAATGAGTGAGAGAGGAATGCAGGTCTCAGGCAGAGCGGACATATCCAGTGCCACTGGGACAGGGCTTCAGAAACAAAGCTAGGTCCTGAGGATTTGGCCGGGGCAGAGGACCTAGAATGATGAGCCTCAGAATGGAGCAGCGGCAGAGGGCAGGACACTCTCCTAGTGGTCACCAGGGCTACACCCAAAGGTCAGAGGTCTCTAGTCTATGGCTAAGATACTCCCTCTGTCACATGAGGGAGCCAAAGTAAAACCCAAATGAACGATTAGGACCAAACCTCTTACTTGGTTTCAGCTGTCAACTTGACACAGCCAGGAGTTGTCTGAGGGAGTCTCGATTGAAGGACTCTCTATCACTATGGTCTGTGGAAGCATTTTCTTGACTGCTAATTGATGTTGGGGGTGAGATCTCACTGTGGGTGGTGTCAACTCAAGGCAGGAGGTCTTGGACTGTATAAGAAAGCTAGCTGAGGCAATCTTAGGGAGCATTTAGTACGCACATTCCTCTGTGGGTTTTGCTTCGAGTTCCTGCCTAGCATTCCTGCCCCAACTTCCTTCAATGACGAATAGTGTCTTGGCAGTGCTGAGATGAAAATAAACCCTTTCCTCCTCAAATTGCTTTCATCACAGTGTTTATTGCGGCAACAGAAAATTCAAGTAGAGCACCATCATGTAGCTCCAAGTAAAAGCCGTAGAGACACAACAGCTACATGACAGTCTCCACCTACACAACGGTCGAGAGTCTCCTGGGCAGGGATCTGCCCGGCTGTGCTGGGTTGGCTGCCTCTGTCCTTCAGTCCCTGCCACTTTTCATCTGCTGTTTTCCTCCACCCTCACAGCAGCCCGGGGAATCAGCTGCTACTATTCCATTTTATGGATGAAGACTGAGGCTTAGAACGTAAAACCCTGGCCTGAGGGTACACAGCCAGTGATGGGGAGGAGGTCTGCAAACCATAGCTAGCCTGACCTCCAGTTGACTTGATAGCTGCAAGTTTGATAAGAAGAGGGGTTTCCACAAGGGTTCTGGATGGGACTCAGTCAGGGAGAGAGCCTGATCATCAACAGGATCCTGAGATAAGGGCCACAGTCTAGTGCATGTGTGTGTGTGTGTGTGTGTGTGTGTGTGTGTGTGAGATAACATGTTTTGGTCATATAGGAAAGTATAAAGAGTAATATGGAGGCACTTCAAAAGGTCAAGATGGTAACTCTTATGTATATTTATGTATATTATAATATGTATAATATGTATATGTATGAATATGTATCTTATCTATATAGATAATCACAGCGGAAGGCACTGTGGGCTGAAGGGATGGCTCAGTCAGAAGGGTACTTACCATGAAAGTCTGAGGTCCTGAGCTTGGATTCTCAGCAGCCACATACAAAACTGGGTGTAATGACACTTTCTATATCACTCAGAGTGAAAGAGACTGAGACAAAGACACACAGAGAGAGAGAGAGAGACAGACCAAGACAAAGACAGAGACAGAGACTGAGACAATGGCAGAGAGACAGAGAAAAGAAAAGATTAAAACTCCCTAGTTCAACACTTGCCTAACAGGCACAAGACCCTCAAGACCCTCTCTCTGTTCTAGGCCCAACACTGAGATAAATTCAAATTAAAGGATGACAGGCAGAAATAGCAAGTGACCGGCACCCTCAAGAAAATTAAGAGGCCAACCTCCCTCAAGAAAAGAGCCACCATCCAGCTTTGGTTCAGCACACTTTCTCTGCCCAGGCCCCTGGGCACCCACTCCTGGACTCCAGTGTGACTATTTCCATGCATCTGTTGTGTTTACTATACAAGCCATGTCTGTACCAGAGTGCAGAGCCACCATGAATGTCTCTAACCCTCATACAAACGCTGGCATGCTGCCTGTGTCCATCTCTCAACTCTTCATCTTCCTCCAGACACTGTCATTTTTGGATTAATGCTTGTTGAAGCTGTGTCCCTGCTCTCACTGCAGCTCTCACGGGGTAGATGATCTGTAATGGGCAGGGTTGCTTTTCCAGTGATGGACAGGAAAGTTTCTGTGGCTTTCCAGACCATGGGGCTGTAGATTCCCTTATCCTCACCTCCTGTGCTTATGAGTATAGACCATCCCACCACAGATGACAGGGACTTGTGGGTGGCATGGGTCTATTCACTAGCAATTTCACTGACTGCTGCTAAGGGGCTCTTTGATGATTCTGTACCACTGACCATACTCACGGGTGCCTAGTATGCCCATATTGAGGAAAGGCAGATAGACTCTCTTGAGAGAGCTCCATGGGGCTTCTCAGTTGCAGTGACATGTTTAATTTTTAACGTTAGCTCCAAGGAAGTATTCACTGTATTATCGTTGTTATTATTTTTAGAAGAGTCTCACTAGGTAGCCATGGCTGGCCTGGTATTCACTGTAGACAAGGCTGGCCGCAAAGGCAGAGAGGTCTGCCTGCCTCCGCTTCCCACCGTCAGGATTAAAAATGTGTGCCATCATGGCTACATGTATTCTTCAGAGCAAACTTCACCGGAAACATGTCACAGCTTTTATAAAAATAATCACTCTCTTCAACCAAAGAGGGAATCTGATGATGTAGATTCCTCACCTAGAGCTCTTCTATAGACATCTGTCGTCCTCAGGGTCAGATTGCCACCCAGGGATTTAGGAAGCCTTTTCTGTCTGAGCCCAGCCATGCTCGCCTGCACCCTAAAATAACCTACAATGGCACCTAGAGTGCACCTCTGCTGTTATAGCTCTTCTAAACCCACCCCAGATGCTTTTTCTCTCACTCCTTCTGATCCAATTATCCTCAGAATAACTCCTCTTCCTCCTCCTGATCTTCCTCCTCGAAACTCAGCCCAGGCCTCCTTCCCCTGCATGTGCACTGGGGTCCTCTATCATAGTCCCTTCCCCATGTCACCAATGGCTGCTTGTTTCTACCCACAATGGATGATGAGGACAAGGATTTCACCACTCATGGTTCCTAGGACCCAGTGAAGATGAGTGACTAAATGAACAAATTGATAGATGGATAGAAGGGAGAATGAAGTCTTCCAACCTCATTTTACAGAACATGAAGCTAAGGTTAATAACAGAGGGAACTGTCCAATGGTCTCAAAACCAGACTTAATTCTCAACTGAATGCTATTCTCCCCTAGTTTACAGCTTGCTTTAAAACAGACAGACATCCATTGGAAGTAATTTGGGTTTGAGGCTCAAACTACACATGGAATAGGTTAAAAGAACAATAAACCTGGTTAAATTTAACTAGACAGAAATAAATTTCTGCAAAGCAAAAACTCATAATAGTGATTTCATAATCTAAAGACATAAATTTGACTACAAAGAAATAAAGATCTGAGGACCAAAACATTTTTCAAGACTTAATATTGATCTCCACTATGTCAGCTAGAAACCAAAAGCTGACAGAAAAAGCAGAATCATGACATCACAGACAGCAAACTCACCTCGTTAGCATGCAAAGCAAATGGATGATGCCACAAGTCAACAGAAAGTAGAGCAAAGAATAGGAAGTTCTATCTCTAGCCAAAGAAACAAAAGCAACTCGTATATAAGTATATGGAAAATACTTGACCTCCTAATCAAAGTGCAGGGGCTGCAAGGCAAGCCGTTTTCCTTATCAGATTGGCAGCGCTCAGAATGTTGGCTAATCGAAAATGCTGGCAAGAGGCTGAGGCAGCATGAGACTCCTGCACTGCTAGTGAGATACTAAATTCTGTCACATCCGTGAAATGAAATCTGACATTTCTCAAAAGTACAAATGCATATGTATTCTTTGACCCAGTAAAAAGAATAAAATATGTTCACCCAAGGAAGTTCAACATAGCCTTCTGAATGATATGAGTCCTCAGGTAATGATCTGGCTGATAATCAGGATGCAGTCAGTAAAAAGACAAAAATAATAAGGCGCAGAATAATTACTATCAGTTGGAAATGCCTGCTAGCATATAGCAAATTCATAAGTGTGTAAAGGATACTGAAGCCCACAGTGATGTTTTAGATAAGGTTC